GGATAAGCGATTAAAATGCTAATTCCCGGCCCGACCGTATCACGCGTGCTCGTACCAATACGACCGCGCGATTGCAGCCGGGTTTTTCCCCTGTCCTTCACCTTTTTTCGCTGCACGCTCGCCAGCGATGTCTTTTTTAACTCCGCGATGGCGTTTAAGTAAATATGAACAGCACCCGCCGAAGGAATTCTTTCTTTTGTTTTTTCGATGGATTTTTAAGTGACTGTAAAGTAGATTTCGTGAACTGGGACAGTTGACAACTTGGTTCTACTGGATTTTGAGTGTTGTTTTCCTGAGAGATTGGGAGTTTCGGGATTGAAGGGTTGGATGGAAATTTAGAGGATTATAGTGGAGTTATGGAATATTTGATGGTTTTTGGAGATGTTGAATGATGGTTTTGAATGTGGCTGGCAGATTGTTGAGAGTGTAAAAGTAGAACGATTGGAGAAATGGGAATTTATCAAACTGGAATTATTGTACATTTCATTTGTTTATCTTTTTGTGGAGAAATATTAAATGAAGCTTGATTTAGGATTAATAATTGTTTTCAAATATATTGGGTATAGAAAAATGGTCAAAATTAAAACTTATCAAATTGTCTAATGATACTATTAAATATTTAATGTTCCTACTGGCTTCTAAAAAATACCAAACAGTGTTTTCTACCATGATTAACAATTCTTTAAAACCACATTAGATTTATGAAAATTATAGAAATAGAAACTCATCAGATTCTCCAAAGAAATGACCAAACATTTCATTTCTCTATTCTCTAAAAATTACCTAACAGAATTCTCCACTCTATACAACAATCTTTTAAAATCGCTTAATTCCCAACAAACAATCGACTCAAATTTTAAGATCTCCGAATATCCAACGAATAGTTAACACTGAAACGACAAACTACTTATTTTCAATTTTCTGTAAACATTGCAACACATTTCTTGAGATTCGAAGTGTCACCAAACCGTGCAACTATTCAAACACAAATGTAATTAAAAATTAAAAAGTGCCGTCAAAATTTCAATCCTTGCAAAATAATACTGAAATTGCTCCATTTGACTCGTCCATGTTTTAATGTTAAGTACTCCGATCAATATCCTTACTCGGCAAACGTTGCATCCATTACGTCGCATCTCCGTCATTAATCAAGAAAGTCAACGCGGCATAAAGAACGGAATCAAATGACACTGGAACGACATTACAACGTCCCGCGGACGAAGCATTAAGAATTAAAGAACATCCTTACCGAAGGCGATCCGGGCAATAAGGAACTCGCGGAACCACGATTAAACAAACTAACTTACGGAACCGTGATTCCTAATGAGCGAAACTCATTGTCTTTTTTCCCAAACGAGCGCACCTCGCAGGGGGAAGAGAAGAAACACGGAAAGGGGACGCAAGATTCCTTTTATAATTTCATTTATCCTTATCGCGTTTCCCATCGCTGCTAGCCGGAGGGCTCGCCTTTGTCCCGGTATTTTTAATTCCGGCGAATTGTTTTGAAACCGTGTTACCGTTCTGGTCGGATTGTTAAAAATCCCGGGAATCACCGAGAAACTCGCGCGCCACGGGAGAAAAAAGGAACGGACGTTCGATGGGAATAGGAACGACCATTTCAATAATAACCGAAGGTATTTCCGGCGAATCGAAAGATGGGCGAATGTTCCGATCGGAATAAAATACTTCGAGATATTATGTTTCACCGGGGGTATGGAATTTTGATGAATTTCGAGGAACAGCTCCCACGTTTTCTTCCATCCCCAGGAAATCCGGTTCGAAATCGGAATATACTCGGAGAGCTTTAAAATTTTGATTCCGTCGCTTTCGAGATTCACGTAAACATTCTAAACCAGCGTTAAAATCATCGGGAAATCCTTTTAGCTTCGTTGCGAAGGTAATTTCGGAATTCTCCATTAAAACCGTCGCTTCTATTCCGTAATATTACGATTTTTATAATCCCGCGTTGTTCCAGCGAAAAACAGGTACCGGTAAATCGTAATCTCTGAAAAAACGGAATCTTGAATGTTTAACACCTCGGCACGGAACAATCTCCCGTTCGACCAGCAAACGCCACGCTTATTCTCGACGATAAACATTTTTCTCTGTAACGGGAAGTCTGTTTCACGACTGCTAACGCAGCGGAACGCTATAAAAATTCGAGGGGAATCGATCGGACGGTTTCGAATGGGAAAATGTTTGGAAAAATGGAAGTTCCCGCGGGTGGCGCGAGATCCGGCTCCTTTTAAGCTCGTGCCTTGCAGTTCCGAGGATTGTGGCGCCGCCCGGCGGATTAGGAAAATATGAAAGTTTATCGTTGACGCAACGGAAGTTCGGGACACGGGATTTCCGCTCGAGAGTTTTTCGTTTCGCCGGTACCCGTTCGAATTATTTCGGGCTTAAACGGTGCCGTTACGTTTTTCCAACGGGCCAACAACTTACAATAGCGCGCGGCGCCGATTATTACTCGTTACCCGGCCGTTAAGCCAGATCCCAGCTGTACCGCGGTGATTCCGATTTGTGGCGGCGTTTTCAACCGGTGTTCGCCCGGCTGCCGCCGTGGCATTCGAGCCTGGTTTAAACGCGACTCGCAAACCCCACGACTTTCTTCCGCGGTTTTTAACGACTGGATTTCCGCGCCTCGCGCCACGGGGATATCGCTAAGTCCGCAGGGCTGTTCCGGAAACTTAGATCCTCGAGCGAACAAGATGTTTTCGGCTGATTCGAGATTTCCGGCGCGTGCTTTAGTAATTTATAGGGAAACTTTCGCGGAGTTCTGGTTTGGGAGTCTGATTCGTGGAAGGGAAGATAGTGTGGGAGTTTGATTTGAGATTTACTGGTTGATTTTATGGTTGCTTAGTGTTCTAGTTGTTTGGCGGCGTAGTAGTTTGTTATGGGAAGTGTGTTGTGGGATTTCAATGATAGGGTTTTGTATTATGTTTTCATGATGTAGTAGTTTGATAATGTACTTTGTGTTAGTTTAGTAATATAGTATTTTAATAGCATAGTACTGGATAGTGTAGTGTTTTAGTATTATGCTACTTTGGTAGCATAGTTTTTTCATGTTATAGTGTTCTTGGTAGTATAGTATTTAATATTATAGTACTTTAGTGTTATAGTTCTTTATATCATAGTGTCTACTTTATTATTTATTCAAGATAATACTGTAGTTAATTGAAAGTTGGTGAAGTAGATACTGTAATATTAAAGCAACTTAATTTAAAGTACTATGGCATTAAGTTATTATGCCATTAAGATACTGTAACATTAAAGTACTATACTACCACAGTACTATAATATTAAACTACTATAATATAGAGTACTATACTACTAAACTACTACAATACTCAAATACTATGCCACTAGACTATTACAATACTCAAATACTATGCCAATAAACTACTATACTACTAAACTACTATGCTCAAAAACCCAATCACAAGAACAACTTCCACAATACTCAAATACTATACCACTAAACGACTACAATATCCAAACACTGTGCTATTAAACTACTATACTACAAAACTACTCTACTCAAAAACCCTATCACAAACAACTCCTACACTTCCAAGCCTCCCCAAACAAACAAAACAACCACACCCGCAATAGAACTGCGCAACTCTGACACAACCTCCAAAAAAACCCCTTCAAACAACTAAACCTCGACTCCACCCACAGTTCCAGCCATACTCGAAGCCTCTCCAACATTTCGAAGGCCAGCGACAGCGTCGCGAAATATGGAAAACCGAAAGGCAGCGTTAGACTCGCGACGTATAATGCCAGGCATCGTCAACGCGTGCAGAACGCGATCCCGATAAAAACTCGGCGGTCCCGGAAGCGCGCCGCGGCCGAAGAAGACGCGGCCTCATGAATTTTTCGGCCGGGATTTGCGTGACAAAGAGAAAAGAATATCCCGCGGCGCGATGAAGTTATCGCGGCGACCC